CACAGACAATTTCAACTGAAGCTTCTGTATTTACTGTTCACTCCTTGAGTGTTCAAGGATAGGAAAGAAATGGAAGGCAGTAAACTGGTAGAACTGGTTTAAAGAATTATATTCTTCCCGTCTGCAATATGAGAAACTGCTTTTCAGGAAGTAGAGGAGTGACTCATGCAGGTGATCCCGAAGGGATGACAAGCCTGTGCTAAAAGTCACCTCGCTGAACCTATGACACATACCCAATCCGCTGCAGAGCAGGGGAAGACTGGAAAGGTGTGTCCTTGCTTGTTTCAATTGCAGGGAAAGCTTTTAAAACTCAGCAAGACATCATTAAAAGAAACTTTCTCCTTAAGCCTTTCCCTTTTGTATGTTACTGCTGGGTCCCTTATTATTAAAAGAAATGTTTATCTACTGTGGAGTTGAAGAAGTCTTTCGTTCTTCCTGAAACACACATGCCTCTTCCTCCTTGGAACGAAAGTGAGCAAGTAACTAAGGGCAGAAAGAGAAAGAAGCAGTGAGTGGGAACAGAGGAAAGATCTGAAAACTGAAGCCAGCTGCAAAGGTTTTAACTGACAAGAAATTGCTATGATCTTCTGTGCTAGCAAAAAAGCTTTGGGAAGGTCACTGGAAGCAGCTTTTGGCTGTCCTCATTCACCTTCTCCCTCCCTCTGCAATCTTTCCCCAAACAAGAATAAATCACTGTTCCATTTGATTAAGAATGCAAAAAAGTTATCCAATGAATTAAGACGTATCACAGACCTTGGGAAAAGCAGCTAAGAATCAGAAAAACTACAGAACGTTGCCCAGAGAACTGCTTCAAATGCCAAGGTTAGCGCTGGCAATGCCATAAACTCTTATTTGCACGGTTGTCACATGAAGTTTTGCTGCACAACCCAAACACTTGCCTATAGTAACAGAGGCTGTTTCTACAGCCTTTAATTATGTGCTCAGCTGCTGTTACATGTTTAGTGTCCATCTTCACTATTATTTGCCCTGTGTTGTTGCCGACAATATTCCAAATCAAGATAGCAACTGTAGTAAGCAATATCCACAAATCATACCCATTTAACAAAAAAAAAAAAAATCAAGTTTCAAGTCTCTTCATAGTCACATATACACAAAGCTACACTAGCTCAATTTTTTCCCAGTTGAAGTTTAAACCAGTTCAGATTTCTTTTGCAGCAACAGCAACTTATTATGGCATGTACTATCTTATTTACACCAAATCAACCCCCTCTCCCCCAATCCAAATAAAAAAATTCCTGAAAATTCTAGGAGTTTGAACAGCATCAAAATGAGTTATTCAGGAGATGTAAATATGCTTTTACACAAGAGAACAAAACAATTTATTTCTGCAGCAACTCTTGCAACTTGTTTCCCATCAAACACTTGCAAATGAAGTTACTGTTCTAAATTCATTAGTTCAGCAGCCTTTCACCCCATTTGTCTGTACATCCACAACATGTGCACTCAAAAGTGAGGGCCTCAAAGAAAGGGAATACATATATATATATATATATCTCTGCATGGATTGCCTAGCAAAATAGGGTCCCAGGTCATAATTAGGTCATAATAAACTAACTAAAACTTTGCTTACTATTTGTAAGCTTGTCTGCATTTGCAGAGTGCCCTAATTTGCAAGCTACTTAGAAGTGCAGCTTCCCATACAGAGGAATTTGATTTTAACCTAAAGTCAGTAATTTGATTAAAAATAGTAAGAAAGTAAACAACAGATGAGTGCAATATAGAATGCAGCTAAGAACAGGCTCATAAGTATTTTTTCCAGACAAGTATCACTAACCCTGCTTGCTTTTCTGGGGTCTTTTCCTCATCACATTACAATAATGACATGCTGGTAATAAACACAGTTACTGTCGATTATAACAACTCTATTATGATCATGGAGAACCCTGAACTAGTCTGTGCTTTCAGGCAACACAAAAAAAAATCAGAGAAATGCTTTCAGAAATTGTTTCTTCCAGCATCACAACCAAAAAAAATGAAGATGGTACTTGCAGAGTACCATCTTCTGGAATTTCTTCAGCATTTCACCCCTTATAAACACATTCAAATAATCTGCATCGAGAGAAGCAGAAGAATACAAAGTCTTTATTTATGTTTTCTGTTTTGCTAATATGCAGTTTCTTCCGCTGAGGTTTCTTCCAAAAAACATGAAGATTTCATATACCAAATACTTGACACAGCCTATTATTTCAGGCTACTGTTATTTTTGCTTTGCACATGCTAAAACTCAATACAAAATGTACTTCAAAAGGCATTTTGGATGGTATTTTGCTAGTATATGAAGCTGCTAGAACAAAAGTAATGCACCATACCACTTTCCTTGCTTATGTTGTGACTGAATGCATCCATTCATTGTAAAAGGACCCTGGGTTACTAATAAAAAAAAATAAAAAAGCAAACATTGAAAGGTAGGCGATGTTTCTGACATATTAAGAGAAATCAGAATCAATTCACCCCTCTTATGGAAAAATATTCTCTCAAGAAGCTTTCTCCAACTTTGTTTTATAGCAGAATGTCTATTATTATTACTGCTATTTATCCTTAACATTTAGCAAGATTAAAGGATAGAGACATCATTTTTACTGGAAAAGTATCAGCTGTCTACCTAAATTAAAAATATAAGTAGGAGCTTATTTCAATAGCAAGGTAGCACTTTACAAGCACTTTAAGTAAAATCAGTTACTATCTGTCTTCTCACAGACAAATTATGTTAATTTTTCATTTGATATTCTAATATCTAACCAGGAAACTACAGCATGTTAAAGCCAACAAGAAGCTTTTGCCCTCAAATTGCCCTCCCCCCATGTTAATCTACAAAACTGAATTATGTCAAGAAATTAAACAAATATATTTAGCAGGTAACAATACTTCTATCTCAGTAAACAGCATTACTTAGTACTTTTACCTTGAAAAGACAAAATTTTAGTTAAAGAGAAAATCTTTATCATCCTTGCCTTTTCCCAGTCCTGAAACTATGATTTATCAAAAAACTGATAATGCTGAAAGACTGAAAAGCTAGTTAATAAAACATTACTGCTGCAAATCTCACCACACCTTTTCCTTCAAATAGTCAAATCTATTAGGCAATGACTAATTTAAAATTATCAAACAGCAAGATATTAAAAAAAAATAGGTACAAAGGTCCATAGACCAAACACAAGCACAGTAGAAATACACAGTTCTTTAATGACTAAAGAGGCAGCTAGGCGGGGAAATAGGGCCAGAAAGTACCCAATGCCTAAAACATGTTTCTCTGTGGCATGTGGGCTTTCTACCTTCATCACCAATTGTGATCACATAAATACCAATTTTTGCTGAAACAGCCTAGGCTCAATGTCAATATTAATTTAGTGCTTGCAAGCCTTTATCTGCCGGCTGCCTTACCCTTAAACACGGCGGCTGCATTAAGTCCTGTCTGCTGCCAGGCTCACGCTGCTCGTCAGGGGGCTGGAGCGCCCCGGCTGCAGAGGGGCAGAGGCGGCCCA